GTGGATCATAAAAATGCAAATTTCGAAAAGGTCATGGTTTTTTAAGCAATTAGGCCTTAAATAAACTAGACGATGATTAGTTCGTCTAATATTACTATTTATGTTGTGTTAATCTTATAATAAAGTACATAGTTATCAAAACTTTGTTAGTATTTGTATTTTTTTTTTTTGCCAAAATTGTTTGTTTTCGTTTTTTTTTTCAAGGGCTTTTTTTTTCCCTTTGTATGTGGTAAAAAAAAAATCTACTAATGTGTTTCCCATTAATTTTTAGATGTAAAAAATGTATTTTTGGTTTGTTGGGTATGTGTGTAATTTACTTGTCTTTCATAAAATGTCAAATAGAAACGGAGAATGATGTCCAATGAGTACTCATATCAAACACGAAACACCATCATCAAACAAATATGAATAAAGAATTTAAATAAATAATTTAAATCTAGGCACTCTAAACATGTTCTCCTTAAGATGAAATTGACACATATTAATGCCCACGGTGCTGGACAAACGTTTTCAAGATACAACGACTTTTATCTTGTGTATATTGGCATACTTTAGATATACAATATTTCGGTGAGCTTCTTTGTGTTTAAAACTCTTAAGAAATGAATAAATAATAATGAACATTGAGTTATTTAGTGTTATATGCATCTCAACTCATCTGATATTAATTTATAAATGTTATTTGATATCTCTAGGGGTTTATGCATCCGAAGACACATTCAGGAGATGCCAGATCCTCCAAAACCTAGTTGCAACCTTTTCGTCATGAGAAATTGCACCCAGATCACATGCTCGTTGTACCCAACTGGTGGGCTGATTCGGGCGTTGTGTCAGGAGCCCGTACGCGCTTGCCTGGACTCATAATCGTGTTCTATTTTTTTCTACACATTCACAACAAACCCTTAGAGTGTTCTAACATACATAATGATGATTATGACTCGTTTGGCTTGTCAAACATTCGTTAAAGACATAATATTTGTGATCTAACAATACTTGATTTACTTAAACTTAATTTTGAATTATATAAACTCAAATTCCCTACATTTCAACTGTAAACTTAATTTCTCATTCAACTTAAAGTGCTTTTGAGATTTTACTCCCTTGCCCTATCAAATTCCCTACATTTCAACTGTAAACTTAATTTCTCATTCAACTTAAAGTGCATTTGAGATTTTATTGCAAGTCTTCTAATTACAAAAAGTGGAACGTAAAATAGGTACAAAATCATAGTTTCTTACATGGTTTACGATGAAAATTGAACTTGAACCATGTACGTGTTATAATTGATTTAATTAACTCTTATTTTCTAGGCCAATTTACATACATACTGAACTGATTGCGAAATAATTAAAAATTACTAAATAAAAATCTTATTTGCACATCTACCTAACCTATCATAAATATTTAGATAAATACTAGCAAGTTGGTCCAGATTATCTGCATGATGTTGTTGGTCCAGGTTATTGGAGGAGCGAAAAGCCAACAGTTTCCCTTGCAAGGAACCAAGCAAGTTGGTCTAGATTATCCGCATGATGTTGTTCACCTTGGCACGTAACATCTTCGACCACGAATCAAACCACCATCCGGGGTGAAACAGTTGTCGTTGTCGGCGCGAGACCGGAGGAATCCGGCTAAGGTGAAGGCGAGGATGGGCTCGAACAAGAATGCCAACGAAGAGGAGATTGGATCAGAATCAGAATCTAAGTGCAAATTTGAATATGAAAATGATAATTGTCAGAAATTGACGCTAACTTGAGAGATTCGTTGAGAAAAATCGGATATTTTTTTGTGGGAATATGAATGTTTTCGTGGTTAATGGGTGAGAATATGATCTGGGGATAATTGTCGTCGCCGTCATCGTTGTCCTAGTGGCTTTTGATGGATACCATCGACCAGGGGGACCTTTTGCGACGGGGAAGCCGCGACGTGATTTCTAGGGTTTGTTCGGATGATCTTGAATTTGGGGGTTTATTTGAGAAGTTGAGGGTGCATATTTTATGCGAATTTTGAATTTTAATGTTTATACGATTATGATTAGTTTATGTTTGATATATGAACAACCTATTTTAGTTCATGTAACGTGATTTAATAATATAAATCTGTTATAAATTACAAATAAACTAAATATATACTCGAAAGAGACGATAATGATAATTGTACAATAAAAGTGTATTTTTTATGTATATGTGCAATATTCTCTTATATCGACTTGATTTTGAATTTGCCAAATAGTTCTCATGGTCCTCTTAACCCCCAAAAGATTTGCCTTTCTGTCACCAATAATTTTACAAACAGACTTCGGCTACACTCTTCTACGCTGAATTAATGTTATCATCTTTGAGTTCTATAACTGTGTTTTCAGACTCTAACAGTGTTATGCCCTTCAGCATATTGCCCAATTTCTCTAAGATACCTGATGAGTTCATAGCTCTTGCGACATCCGACTCCATCTAGAAACCTGGAAATAGACACGAGAAAAACCCTAGACTAGACGAAACTCCCTAAAAAAAGAAAAAAAAAAGAAAAAAAAAGAAGAAGAGACTCTTGGAGAAAACTTTAGAACACACTAGAGCACAAAGCACTACCCCCACAACGGAAACCTGAAACCCAAATTCCTTTTCTCTAAGAGAGTAATCGCCTCACAATGGAGGAATCCAGTCCCATCAAATTCAAATACTAAATAAATTAAGAGAAATGCTACATTGTCAACCTAGTGTACAACTAGGTTGACAATACAAGTCGAAAACATCCACTTGTGTATTTTTTTTTTTTAGTTTAATTGAACACTAAGTTGACTATGTATCATTTTTCATAAATTAAATACTTTATGATTTTTTGAATTATTTGAAAACGGAAAATGTATAAATTTCTCTTCATATATAAATAAAAAAAAAAAAAAAGAAAAAAGTTTGAGCTTATGGGAATAATAGTTTTTATGGGTGCTAGCGGAATCTTCAAAATGGGATTCGGCCAGTAGGCCTGCCCGAGTCGCCCTGGCCACGGCCGCCGCACAGGAGCTCAGAAGTCGGAACCCGGCGAACTTCTTCCGCTCACTCAGTTAATCAGCCTCAACTCGTCACTGTTACCCCTCAGCCGTTTCAGGTATAAACTGAATTAAAATATGTTCCCTCTCTCTCTCTCTCTCTCTCTCTCTCTCTCTCTCTCTCTCTCTCTCTCTCTCTCTCTCTCTCTCTCTCTCTCTCTCAAATACACGTTTATGTGTGCTGTTATGTCCGTATAACTGTGTGTCCATTTGCTTTTGTATTTCCCTGAATAATGATGCTATCATGTGCCTTAAGTGTTTGAAGAAATGCCTGAGAGACTGAACCATATGCTTCCTGTTTAGGAGATTTTTTTTTTTTTTTTCCATTTCGTGAAAATTCCCATTTATTTTCTGCGTCTCTAAATTGCTAGCCATGATGTCTGCTTGGACTGATCGAGACAGCTCATGCAGATGAAGTACTTGAAGCCTATGAAACTGTACCATGAAGTGTTGAAATCAAATGAGCTCAAAAGAAGCCGTTTGCTTGGGTTGGATGTTGGTGATAAGTACGTGGGTCTATCTGTTTCCGACGCTGATAACAAAATCGCATCACCTTTAAGGTTGATGAGGCTGCTTTTGTATCTGTCACAAAACCGTGTATGTAGGAGCTTGCAAGTTTCTATATTTTGCGTTATTTGATTTGGGTTTTTAATTATGTGCAGTGTCCTATATCGGAAAAAGATGAATATCGACTTGATAGCTAGTGACTTCCAAAGTTTGGTGAGTAGCTGCTCAGCTTTTTTAATCTTTGTGGTGCCGTATTCATTTCCCGCTCTAGGAATTTTGATGTGGAAAAAGTATGAATGATGCTAATGAGTATCTTTTTAGACTAGCATTTACCAGCTTATCTTTAATGAAGAAGGAAATTTATCTTATATGTAAGTTTTCAGATGCAAGTTTGGTCGTCATTATCTAAAAGGCATTTTTTTCGAGTGCATGTTCATATCATGCACTCGAAAAGGCATTTTTTTATTCTTGTTGACTTCGCATATTGATTTCTTATTATCATCATCATATTTTAGGAAAAATGTTTACTGTTCTGAAGGGTCTTACATTTAACTTTTATCTATCCATGATGTTTGGGTTGGTTCAGGTTATCTATTTACGTGTTAAAAAACGTTTCACATAATGCCTCAAACCTAATTTCTAAAATTACCCGGAGAACGTGCAGCATAGTTCTTTGTGATGAAGAAAATTTTTGCTGATAATATTATGTGCTCATGCAGATCTCGAAACTATCCTTGTCAGGCTTAGTAATCGGCTATCCTTTTGACAGGCAGAGGAGCAGTCCAGATGTGTGTTACTATCTCATTCTAATCATTTTTTTTTGTCAAACAATTTCAGTCACTATGAATTTCATTTTATACCGTGTTTTCATATGATGAGTCATCATTTGCAGGCGATACAAGTGAAGCTTTTCATTGATGACCTAACAAAAACTGGGAAATTTGGTGATTTGAAGTATACCTTTTGGGACGAGTGCTTCACATCAAAGGTGAAAGCTGCATATTTCTTCTTCATTTCATAGTGTTACTACCCCACATGATTTATGACATTTTGCCACTTCGGTTTTGTACAGCAAGTACTAGCTTTGGGATTTGTAGCATTTGAACATGGGATGGAAAACAATATCTTGCTTTTATGCAGTAACTGCACTTGTCCTACAACATGTATCTGACTGCACTTCGTATTTCTAGTCTCAATGCGGTTGAGTACTATGTTATGAAAGAATAGAATCATGTTACTTTCAGCATCAATATGTTTAATCTTGCTGTTTAATGTTGCATTGGTTATTGCTTTCTTCCCCATCATTTACAAATCAGACTATATAGTCATTTGTCATAGATGAGTTTCTAACAGATATGGTTATGGGATGTTCCAGAATGTCGAATTTCTCTTGAAGCCTCTATCATTGCGTCCCGTGCAATTTAAGACGATTATTGACAAATTTGCTGCCGTTGGTATCCTTCAGGTGATTTTTTTTTTTCTTATGAGGCTGTCATGCTTGTAATGCGCATCTCTTAAAGAATTGATTGAATAACCGGAGCACTTTTATCACAGAGTAAATGCAGTAGGTGTTTAGTTTTAGGCATGGGCCTAACGGGAAGATTTGGCTTCATTCTATAACAAAATTATGAGTTGCCACAAGTAGTATTACCAGTCAGCCTCCTTACAGAACTATTATTTCTTCATATCCTGATAAACAAATGAAATCGTCACTTCCGATTGAAGATCTTCGAATTATTACTTTTCTCTATTGTGTTGAACATTGTAAATTAATTCATGCTAGCTAATGCCATTTTGGGGCCTGGCAGGGTTACCTGGATTTTGTTAACCGGAGTCGAGATCAAGAAGCAGAGATTTTCCAAAACGAAAAGTATTCAGAGCCTCTCAATGAGGAATGGCATAATCCAGAAAATTAGTTGTTCCTTTTTAAACACTTTAGCAATTAAGTTGTAAACCAGAAAATTAGTTGTTCCTTTTTAAACACTTTAGCAATTAATTTTTGCCATTGTTGTCGATAAACGCTCAGAAAATATTGGAAATCCCCACTGTTTCATTCAAGTGAAGAAGGGAAGTTCGTACATTATACTAGTGCGGTACCCGTGCGATGAACGAGCTAGTTTTATTAAGGTAAACATTTAGATTTGGATGATTGGATAACTGAAAGAATGTAAAAGATATATGTTGTTCCGCTTTCTATCGGTAAACAAATAATATATAATTTAAAATTGTCTCCGCTTTCTATGAAATCTGAATTTTTTAATAAACATTATCTGTTGTAATTAGGTAAACATACATGTTATAATATTTTTCCTAATTCAAAATTCTCGATTTTATGGTAACCAGATTTTTGTTAAGTAAAAAATAAGAGAATTTTCACTTTTAAAAATTGTCATGCTGAACTTTACATAATTTCACCCGGTTTCTATGCAATCCGATTTTTTTAATAAAAAATTAATATGTTGCAATTAGTAAAAGATACATGTGATAGTATTTTTGCCTAATTCAAAATTCTCTATTTTATGGTAATCAGTTTTTTTTTTATAAAAAATGAAAAATAATTTTGACTTTTGTAAAATTCTAAGCATAAGTCAAAATTTACCCAAATTAAATCCACAAAACCCATGAATTTATGGTATATATATATATATAGCTGATTGATTTTAGGAATAATTAAATAAAATAAAAACTGCAAAAAATAGAATAAATGCTAGTTGACTTTTCTTGTTACTATTTTTGGTATATAGGTTGTTTCATTATATAGATCTAGATATAGATTCATATTAACTCAAAGCCCAAAGGTAATAACCGCATGCTCCAATGACTGAGCGACACATGCCCATATTTAACTAACCAAAACAAAGTAAAGACGCAATACGCCTTAGCCAAACAGTATGCACCTTAGAGCATCTCCAATGATGAACATTAATTGTAGTATATGTAGCAATTAAATAGATGATTTTCCATCCACGTGGAAGAAATAGATGTTTAAACCCATAAAATGTCATGGTTTCTTTATTCAACTTAGCAGTTACCGTTTTTTTTTTTTTTTTTTTGAAAATTTGTTCTTCTAATTAAAAAGAAATAAAATCATCATGTCTAACAATACTTCTACATGTAGAAGAAAGTCTGAATTTTATTTATTCTCTCTCTTTCCACATCATTAAGAATAGAATCTAGACATTCACGATTGGAGACCTTTTTTTTTATTGAACTTCCTCCATATTTTTACAATTGACAATCCATTGGAGATGCTCTTAGTAAGTGAAAAATGCGACTTACAACTTACAAAAAAAAAAAGAGAAATAAAATAGAAAACATAAAAAAAAAAAGAAAATGTTTTCTTTTATTCCTTCATCAAGCACGTCAATATACATGTGAAACTTCATGCTTGGTGATGAATTCCCGAGTTGGATGATGAACATCTCAACCCCTCAAACGGGAATGTGAGGATTGAGACACATTCACAACTTGCACAAAAAATGCTTAAAATCACTACCGCCAAGAAGCTTAGAAATCGTCTTTTGCTCCTTCATTTTCCAAGAGATCAAAGATTCCTCCAACAGAAATGCAAAACCCGTGAAAGATTTTCTAGTAAAGGCACAATTTCCCCAATCAACATCACAAAATCCCTCTAATTGCAATGACAGTTGTGTTGTATAGAAAAATCTCAGCGTAGGTGTACCTTTCAAGTATCTCACCAAATCTATAGCAGCTGTCCAATGTGCCTGAGGGCTGAGTAGGGACCAAAACAATTGTAACTTAATTGTTGGACAATATAAGATATGTCTGCCCTAAAGAGATTCAATTACAAAAGCCGACCAATTTGAAGTGGCGAAAATTGTTGAGATGATAGGTATAGACGTTGTGGTAAAGGTGTTACCATTGATTTGGAAGTCTCAAGACCCAAATCATGGACTATGTCTAGAATGTACTTTCTAAGTATGTTTCTTCTTGATCTATATAAAACCCCAATCCCAGAATGTGTTTTGCTTGCCCCAGGTCCGTTATAATGAAGAGACCATTAAGGTAATGTTTGAGATTCTAAATGTCTATCAAGGAGACACCAGTAATAAGCACATCATCCACCTATATAAGAAGAAAAAAGAACCTAGAATCTGATCTCTTAATGAATAAACAGTGATCATGAGGAGACTTAACAAACCCATATGCTATGAGTTTTTCTGTAAATTCAATATTCCATTAGAACCTTGTTTCAAGCCATAAAGGCTCCTTTTCAATAAGCATACTTCACCCTTTTGCGCCTTGAAATAACCCTTAGGGGGCAACATATAAACCTTACTTCATTTAAAAATCCGTGAACAAATGCATTGTTAATGCTTATGTGTTGCGATTCTCACTTATGTTGAGTAGCCAAAGCAATAGGAATCTCACTGGAACAAGTTTTGCAGCTGGAGAAAAATTGTCCATAAAATCCACACCTTCCTTCTGTAAATATCCTTTTGCCATTAACTGAGCTTTGAACTTGTCTATGTTTCCATCACGCTTTCTTCTTCTTCTTCTCTCTCTTTTTTTTTTTTCCTCTCTCTTCTGTAAACCCACTTTAAGCCTTTGGCCTTCTTTCCACTGGGTAGCTTTGTAAGTTTCCAAGTATTATTGGTATCAAGTGCCTTTAACTCATTATCCATAGCACTGACCAACCTTTCATCTTTAATAGTCTGCTCATAAAACATTGGTTCTGATTCTGACTTATGAACCTCAGCCATGAATAGTTAGCTTCTTGAACATTATCTGTTGCCTTTGCATTATTAACCACTTAGTCTGATAACCATTTAGGAGATTGTCTAGGTCTGGTACTTACTCTTGTTTTCTCTTGCACTCCAATGTCAGCCTTTTCCCTTTTAAACATTTCATTTACATGATTCTCACCATCTCTGGATATTTTATGCACCACAGGTGGTGAATCAGGTGTAATTTGCAATGAATTTCGTAGAATGGAAACTTATCTTCATAAACAAGACATCCCTAGAGAGAAAAACTTCTTTTGTATCTTGATTATAAGAGCACCCACAATGTTTTGGGTCTCTTAGAAAAAAAATCACATGCCACGTAGGAAATAGACCTAGTCTATAAAAAAGTGTTTCACAATGCAATTAAAAGTGGACTTACTCTAGCTTATGTGGAAATAAAAAAAAAAGACCAAGTCCACACTTGGGTCTATTTTGGACCCAAGTACAAACCCAAACACTCATCATTTATTCCTAATTTAATTTTTCTTTTAATAAAGGAAACATATTAGAGCATTTTTATTGGTTGGCATGTATGCTAGACCTAGTATTTTATTTTTGCATTGAATAGCTTTTAAGTTTTTTTACTTGGGTTTGTCCATGTCATTTAGGACTTAAGTCTAGTTATATGCCACGTATGTAAAATTAGACTCAATACATTGTGGGTGCTCTAAGCCCTATATCCTTTGATCCTAGAAGCATATCCCAAAAATGCACAAGTTGATCTATCATCAAATTTTGTCCTATGTGAAATATATTCTCTTTTGCATAGCATAACATCCAAAGACTTTGAACATGTTATATGATGGCTTTATCATATGAAGTCATTCATAAGGACTTTTCTATTGTAACAATGCACTTGGTAAAGTATTTATAATTTGTACTGCAACTAGCAAACTGTAAGGCCAAAGATTTCTTTACAATTTAACTTGAAAACATGGTGATCTGACAACCTCTAGAATAATCATGTGACTCCTCTCAAACACTCTGTTTAAGTATACTGTAGAAGCTCGGCTTTGTGTTACTCTCAATTCTTTTTTAAATGACTTTATTATTTTTTTTTTTTTTTGCCAATACGATAGAAGATCTATATTAATCAAAGTGCACAAAGTGCGAAAAAAAAGCAGCCAAAAGCTGAATAGTACAACCAGAGGCTATAAAATTGGGAGGCTGATCCGGAGATCGCCTAGAACTGACTAGCAACGCTAGAATGACAAACTCGCAACTACACAAACCAACTAACACAATAACAATTAGAACAACTAAAAAGATCCCAACGAGATAATACCCGAGTGTCTGATCCCAACAGGGTAATAAGTCGACACTCGGGCGCACTGAGTCCAAATGACCCAAACACAAAAATACCAACCTAGACAACAAAAAACACAAACAAAAGAGAAAACAACTACAAAAGAGAGACCTAATCTAACAAACAAGACCCTTCCCCAATGTTGCGAAGATAATTATTTTATTTTACATTATAGATAATATGGTTCGATGTGTCGAATAGAAAGATCATGTTATCAGCCAATCTTGTAAAATGAGCACGTGCATTCGATACTTATTTAATTGGGTGCCTTGTAAAATTGTATACAAACTCACCTATGGACCAAAATTAATACTATGCATAGTACAAAAACCCTGAAACCACTGTACAAAGACTAGTATGTCTATTTGAATAAAACTTTGATGCAAGGAATCTGGTCAAAGACCAAATAATTAGAAGGAAAAAAAAAAAAAAAAAAAAGAAGAAAAGATAAAATAAAATTGTGTATACACTATGCTTCACCCTGAAAACACACATGGTGAATCACCAGTGCATCACAGTTCACATACAAAACCTATTCTGCTTTTAGTATGTTTGCTTCTGATAAGGACATGGTGGTGGTACTTAGGTGCACCCAACTGTACCACATTGCTTTTTTTTTTTTTTTTTT